CAGCTTGTCTTAGAATCTAATACATGTGCTTTAGCCGTTTAGTATGTATTTTTCCCAAGGAGATCAAATTAAACCCCCATTAGATAATCAGTGTGAAGAAAAAATAGCTCATTTGCAGATTAAGCCAACCAGTTCCAAAAGAATTCAATAAAAACAGTGCCACAAAGAGCAGTGACACAAACAGAATTAAATGCTTTTCACATACTATCTTTCAAAGCAGTGAGAGACTTTCACGGCACCAGGGAAATCTGGAATAGCTGTTTCAGTAAAAAGCTGCCCATTGTACAAAAGAGATCAGATAATTTGTAAAGCATCCAGTGTTTTACAGTATCTCTAGTCTGGAGTCCTGAGCTCTTTCCAAAAATTAGAAGTCTCAAATTAGAAGGCTCCCCAAACTAGGGAAAATCTTGGATCTTCCCCTTTCAAGATACACAGCTTGATAGATTAAAAAAAATAAAAATAATTTTTAAAAATCCTTTGCTTGAATCAGAGCTCTTAGTCGTTAATTATGGACTAGAGAGTCATTAATTACGGACTAAAGTAACATTTAAAAAATGTTTGCTCAATGTTGTCAGAGCATATTGAAAATTTTTTCCACTCTTGGTGCTTATCCGTCAGGTTTACAAATGTACATACTTAGTTTTACATACTTAGCATTACTTTTGGAAGCACCACATTGAGTAATACCTCAGAGTAGAACCTTTATTCCTTTTCATGGGCAAGGTAAAGTGTGGGGTTTTCACTCTTTTGTCTCTCTCAGCATACTGCATCGTTTAAGACCCTACAGATTCAAATTATCAGGTAGTTAATTTGAAAATAATTTATTGACAAGCTGTGAAAGGCTTTGAGTAAAGTACTAGGGGATTTTGTAGCTTGACTTCGGATAGCTGTAAGAAATTAATCAGTTGAACAAGACCAAGCACATTCAGATGCTGGAATTTGTGCCCTTGAGACTGCTGTTCCCAGCCCAGGCACAGAACACACCTCAGAGAAACATCCTTCCAGAATCACTCATTCCTCCGCCTCACCCGGGCAGCGAGCATGCCGCCAGCTCTTAAATAAGGTCTCTTGCTACATCACTGCCACAGGCTGTTGTAAACCATTTTTCTCCCTTTTAATTCAGGTTCCTAGACAAGCAAAAATGCAGAATATTGCCAGAATAGTCTGGGGAACGGGGATTTCTGTTGTGGATGATTAATGAAATATTATTGTTCTGCACTTACAGGGAAATCATAGTTTCATGCCGGTAAGGTCAGGGCCTCAATATGTTATGTGCTCTACAAAGATGTACAGAATGATCATTCATTTTCTGTTATGACTGAGCCAAAGCCTCATCAGGTTAGAGGGGAACGTGGTAGAAATAGTAACATGCACTGAAAGCCAAAGCAAACTTTTCTTTACATTGCTAGTTGCAATTCTGCTATATCTAAATCCACATCTCTACCCGCATCAAGACAGGGGGACCAAAAGTAAGTTGCTGGGACCCTGGCTCTGTAGATACCTCCCAACTAATCATCCTTTGTGATATGCCCCAGATTGTCCTTGGATTAATATAATTTCTGCAATACTGTGTTGAGATAGACTGAAGCTAGAGACCCATAACAAAAAGATCCTTGGAGCTATGTCAAGGCATTTGATCTGTTCAATTGTATTTTGAAAAGAAATTCTCTGTAACCTGACCTGCTCAATACTAACTTCCCAGGTCAGGCTGCCTTGGCTTGTTGGAGTAAGTGTGGAGTCTGGAAGATCATTCTATGACCATGCTTCTGCCTATAGTCACAATGGATTTTACTGCAGTTTTTTTTATAGAAATACATATTATAAAGTACATTATCAGCACCAGATCCCAAGATCTTCCATGTATTTTGTTACTGAGTGAGACTCATGAAGGAATGACATCTACTCAGTCCAAGAACAAGGCTTTTAAAAGCAACAAAGTTCCTGAGAATGGTTTGTTGCTAAAAGGGGTAAATGCTTAACATGAGTGGGAAAAACTGTCACCTCAGGCTCTGCACAGAGACAATGCACTGATTCCACATACAGTTTTTTAATTTTTTTTTTTCTCTCAGTGACTAGACCCATCACATAACAATCTTTCAGCTGAGAATATGAAAAAAAACCTCAAGAACCTTCCACTGAAATTTTGCAGTGAAATAATGATTTTTAAAAGTATGTTTTCAGGAGTCTTTCCTCCCAAAGCAGATGTGCAACCCACACTGATTTGACAGATAAATGAAAAGAAAGCCAGGAGAAGTTATTTGTATCAAAATGAGCATGGCAAACACTTGGGATGCAGGTAGATACAGGGTAATGATACTCTAGCAATACTGATTTTCAGGATGGGAAGAAGTGGATGTAAGCCAATAAAACAATGCAATAATGATGAAAGATGAAAAGAGGTCAAAGTCAGAAAGTTTTTGATTTCTTTTAGCACTGGCATTTGTCAAGGTGAGCAAAATCCATTACCAAGGAGCAGCCTGAATTTTAACACGAGTCTTTAAAAATGTTAATGTTTAATAGGGTGTGCTCATGCTTTATATATCCCTGATAACAATGCACAGGCCGATAGGCATCTCCTGAGGTTGTAAATCAGTGGCAGAGCCTTGCAAGGCACACAAGCACTTGGTGTGCACTTTCATGGTTTATTATGTTACCAGAACTCATTGACTGGATTATAGCCTTGTAACAGCTCTTTCTCCGCATTATACTACTGTTACTGTAGCATAATTAACCTATGTCCCATTAGAAGATTAAATGTCCTTCTCCAGATGAGCACACAGAAGTTAGATGACTCTGTGGCTGTTTAATGTACAGGCTCATTTTTTTAGGAGGAGCTGATTATTTCCCTGAGCTGTGCCCACAAAGTCTGCTTACCTGAAGATGGTACTGGTTCCGGCTTGGACTTGTAAAAAGACAAGACACATGAGCAGGGAGCAACATTTTCTCCTTAGTCCTGTGTGGGACACCTCACCTGCAACAACTCAGTTGTAGGCTGTGTTCAGGTTTGCACATTGGAAGCCGAGGTATCTGAGGAAGATATGGGGGTGAGGACATCATGTTCCTTGTATTTTAAAACTGCCATGATTCCCTCCCACTGGAGAACACATCTGTCATTTCCCACAGTGCATGCAACAGTCCAGCAAGTTGCAAGTCCATGGGCTCATTACTTGAGGAAGGATTTCACCCTGTATTATCACCAGGTACAAACTGAAGCTTTCAACAGTCTGAAGGCCCTTGAGAAGGCACTATTGCTTTCCATGGCAGGAGCCAGCTCTACTCCAACAGAGCATAGGTTTTTCCCTATGTAAACAGAAACAATAAATTTCCTCCATTGGTACCTAAGTAGGCACATGCAGGATTTTTTTCCTCACTCTTACTGTATCTTATGAAGTCTCAAGAGTCCCAGTGGTCACACCATTTGCTCAGAGAAGAGTCTGGCAGAACAGGATATTCTTGGAAGTGTCTGGGAGAAGCCGGTGCAGACCAAGACCTCATAGTCGTGCAGCAAATCTCGAGATGGATGTGACCATCCATTGCCCTCCTTTCTTTGCCCACTCTGCCTAGTACTCTTCTGCACAGGGTAAGGCCCCCCTGTGAAAAACTCTACTCCTGATAACAAGCCTTAGAGAACAGGCAGACGTGCAGGCCCCTTTTTCATGCCAATCTAGTTACAGTTTATTGATTCCCCTTGCCTTCGGCTAATGTACTTTTATTATTATTAATAAATAATCATCATTTTTCCATCAGTGCAGCCTGCTCCCGAGAGCCTTGGAGGATTCTAGCAAAAGTATTATTAAAACTAAAGATTTCTAAAGGGTTGAACAGCAGCATGTTCCAGTAACCTGACAGAATCTGCAGCTGGGGAGCAGAATATCCCCACTTGAGAATATGCGATAGAGCATCAAATTGTCTCCCTCCCCTAGAGTTAGAGTCACCATTTAATACTGTGGCCTCCTGTTCATGATCACTTCTGCTTTGTTGTCATCCCCCAGGGATGTAAAGGGTGCGGGTGGCTCTTGGGGAGCTGTTGCCCAGGCACGCGGGCTCTTGCAGGACCCTGCCCTGGCATGGTGCATGACTCACTGCACCTGCAGAGCCAAAACTCTTCTGTGTGCTCCTCCTGGCTGGCATCCCCTCGCAGGACCCTGCCCTGGCATGGTGCATGACTCAGTACACCTGGGCTGCCAAAGCTGTTGCTGTGTGCTCCTCCTGGATGGCACCCCTCTGCAATAGCTGCTCAGGCAGCCTCTGTCCTCCATCAGCTGCAGAGCCTGATCCTGCTTCCTCACAGGTTACAAAGATCCAGGATCCCTTTCCCACTCTAGGCAGAAACATTACCTGGAGAGGATGGTTTCTCCTAAAGGATTGCCTGAATCTGCTGATAACCAGGCAGGACAGCTGGGAAGGACTCATCATCAAACTCAGAAACAGAGATGGACATGGACAGTAAGCTGCGAAATAGTGACTGAAGTGGTTTCAGGAGCACTTTGGGATTGCTGGTAGAGGATTTTGGGGAAAAAGATCAATTAATGCTGTCAGCAATGAAAACACTGTGTTGCTCAAGGAGGTAACTTTACTGGGGTGGCAGGAAAGCAAAGAGAATCAGGGAAGTCACCTATACGTGGACTTCCTTCTGTCCGCAATCCTGAACTAGCATATCTTGCCACCACCGTTCCAACTCCTCCTTGGTCAGCCTTGTCTTCCCTGAGGATTTCCTTGCCAGCTGCACCCTGGACCATAAATTATTGTGGGCTTTCCCTGCTGTGACCTGCTTCCTCTATTGCATCACCAGTGGTCCAGCTGAGTCCTGTGACCTGGCACCGTGACAGCAATCCAGCACGGGTCCTGCCCCTTAATTCTGCCCTGAAATCACACAGACCACAACATGTGGACCATAACACAGATTCTCACTGGAAAACAAACACCTTGTAGTGTTGTAGATGAAATAGGAACTCTAGATTAAGATAATCCATGTTTCACAATAAAATATAGTGCTTTATTTGGCAGGAAAAAAAAAAGGTACATCTGGTCTAAATGGAAGTAAACAAGATCTCAGAGTCCTTTTCTCTGTGTAAAGCCACTTCCCCAGAAGGTGTGTTCAGGCAATGACAGGAGGGCTATAAAGGGACCCCAGGATGCTGATACCCACACTTCGAGTTAGACATGGCCATACAGAGTTTGCTGCATTATGTGGGCTCTAGCTCGCTGCTCTATTTGGCAGCAGGGCTGCTTGCTCTCCTTTACTTTCTTAACAGCATGAAGAAGTCGGTTTGCAGTTTGCCTCCTGGGCCACGACCTCTTCCTCTGATTGGGAACCTGAATGTGGTAGACCTGAAAAAGCCGTTCCAGTCACTGACAGAGGTAGGGTCTGAGTGAGCAGGCAGGAGGAAAACGTGCAATTCCTGAAGTGAGAAATGCAGCTAGGGAAATGAAGATGTGATTGTGTTTGCATTGTGTGGAGGGCAAAAATCAGATATTTGGTGTACAGGCAGGCTGGCAGAGTGACTTCGCCTTCAGAGGTATACACACACATACGTGTATTTATATCTATAGATATAACATACATATTCCTTTATACACATGCAAGCATAGACCCCCAGCTCTTGCAATCAGCTCCGTATTGTTGGTATTGGTAGAAGACTTGAGTTGGGCAGAGCGCAGTTTTGATGGGCTTCTGGTCCTGAGCTCCCATCTGGTCATGGGTGTGTTTGAAGGTTCCAGTATGGAAGAGCTACTATTCTTGGTGGTTCTGGGGGATTTTGTGATACAAATGTAATGCGAAGGCACCAGACTCATCTCCTATAATCTGCCAAGCAGCTTTCTTTAGACTTTTAGGCCTGCCACATCCAACACTTGTGTTGCTGAGAAAAAACAGGGTTGATGCCAAGAAATACTAATACAAAGAAATGACCAAAGGAAGTCTAGGAGGTGGCTGTGATTCCCTGCCCCTGGCTCTGCCGTGCACTCTGTGAGCTGCTGGGGATGAAAGAACCAGTGTTAATGTTATCTCCCAAGCCGTCAAACCACCATTTGATGAAAACAAATTCAATTTGTCTGGTGTAATAACAGGAGCTGCTTCTAATCTGAAATTCAATTTTCGGGAATGTATCTAATGCATAGCAAATGGTAACCCAGGCACATCGGAAACAAGAAGACATTTGGAGCGGATGGCTTGCAGTGTGTTTAAACAAAGTCTAAAATGCTGAGTGAATGATTAGATTGTCAAAGCCACCCTTCTGTTTCACAGATGATTCATGTTTAATTTGCTGTAAAAGCCTAGAGATCCTGTGACATTATCTACAAGAATATCCTTCCTAGTTGGATTCAAGTTTCTGGTGGCCAGCAAATAATTTTGCGATGACTCCAACACTACCCACCTTGCCATAATTAGAGACAAGTGCTGTCCTGAAAGAAAGAGTTATTGTCTAGCTTTGTTTTTGTAGTGTTTGTGGCTTCAGCCTCAAAGATGTGTGCACACCCGCTTGCCTCAGGTCAACAGCGTTAAAATAAACAGGCCTGCCTGCTGCAGCATTTTCTAAATGGCAGTATCGCTAGGCTGGCCTGTTACTGCAGAACACCACAGGAATGCAATGGCATTTTATTGACTCCTCTGATAGAAGCAGCGATAGCAGACACCTTGTTGTGCAAACAGGGTGCAAGCAGAGATGCTGGCAATTGATAGCTGTTGCTCATTAGTTGCATTAAAGCAGCACCTGGAGACTTCAGGCAGGGCTGGGAGGCTCCTTTTGGGCTAGAAACCACCTAGGGTGGCTAGTGATAGCATTTGGGTCCAGCTTTGTTTTGAATGAACATATTTATTCACCTTGACAGCTCTCCAAGATATATGGCAACGTCTTCACTGTGCATTTTGGACCCAGGAAAGCTGTGGTACTGGCTGGATACGAGACTATCAAAGATGCCCTTTTAAATCATGCTGAAGAATTTGGAGAGAGGGCAGAAATACCCATATTTAGGAAAATGACACAAGGAAATGGTAAGTGACCTTCTTCTTGGTTAGTTTTTGTAGTTTTTCTATGTTAATTATATTCTTCCAGCCGAGAGTATCATCCTCTTACAGATTTCTTTTTGTTTATATAACATAAAAGCATGTATAACAAAGCATATCAAGCAGCTTTGGTACCAGTATATAAGAAGGCCTTACAAATGTTTATTAACCATAGGTAACATAAGGATGTCACACCTTTATTTCAGGCTTAGCATTCAGCCATGGAGAGCTATGGAAAACTATGAGAAGATTCACCTTGTCCACACTTCGAGATTTTGGAATGGGAAAGAGAACCACTGAGATCCGAATCTTGGAGGAAGTAAATTCCCTTATCAAATATTTTGAATCCTACCACGGTGAGTGTCAAGGCTTTCATCCAGAGACAGAAAATCTGTCCAGCAGAACAATAAAGGCTAATGAAAGTTTAACTCTGAGCAAGTGGTATCTCATGGTTAAAGTCCAGCATACGCTGAAGTAGGTTATTAAACCGAGGTCTTAAAACACTGAAACTGAGTTCCCTGCTATGTGTTCTGGGTGGTGAATTAGTTTTTTGTTTGGGAGCCCAAGGACTACATTTCCATAGGAAACCAGACTGAAACAAGCATAATCACACCATAATTTGTTTTCATTGCTTGAAATATAGGGAAACCATTTGATACGAAGATGATAATCAACAATGCTGTATCCAATGTCATCTGCTCTATATTGTTTGGAGAAAGGTTTGAATATGATGATCCCGTATTTCTAACTTTGCTGAAGCTGATAAATGAAAATACTAAACTGTTGGGCTCCCCTATGGTGCTGGTAAGACCTGATTTTATGTTTTAGCTTTTTTGGGGGGGAGGGGGGATATCTGGTTGTCTGTGTTTGTCCTCCTGGACTCCCACATCTTGCTTCTTGAGAACAAGAACATTATCAGCCAGCCAGCCTGTACGGAACACATCTGTGGTTTTGTATCTGCAACACTCAAATTCCCAGGCCCTTGTGCTTAGTCTGTGAAGCTTATTAGTAAAAGAAAAAAACCCAAAGTCTTCACAAAAGGACCTATTTTACCATCTTTGAAGAGCAGAAGCACAATACGTCTCCCTTATCAGAGATCGGCCCTGAAATGCCATCGTCCATCTGCCTCCTTGTATTACACCTTCAGTAACTGTCCTAGTTCTGCCTCCCCTAGAACCAGGTTTGACAGACTTCTTTTATTTTGGCCACTGAAACTCAATCTTAGCAAACTGTCAGCTGATATAAGCCCATTCCTTCCTGATACAAAGCTTCTGCTTTGAACACCAGCAGAGTTGTCTTTCTGAGCCGCGCTGAGGTCTGCAGCTGGCTGTGACTCCAGACTAGCTAAGCCCCAAAAGCACCAGGTCAGAGTTACACACTGTGTACAAACACTCTCCCAGCACAAGGCACCAGCTAACAGCTAACATCAGGTGTTTGTTTAATTGTCTGGTAGGGCAGCCTGTGGTCTCCTTGAAGGTGTGCACACCTCTCAGGGGATGATGGGGGTGAGACCCCTCCTTTCTCCTGACAGCACGTATGTCCATATGACATACTGCAGTGCTGTGCTCAGTCCAGCTCCTAGGAACAGAGTAGTTGGGTTAGCTCGGTGCTGTGCCTAAGCTAACTGGCTTGGAAAGCACTGTGTTGACACAGCAATATTGTCTGTCTGTGGAAGTGACCAGTTCAAGTCCCTTCTGCTGCCATAGGATGTGACACACCTGAGGGCTTTCCCTGGAATAAGTACAATGCTCACATTCCCATCTTTCACATCTGAGACCTCCTGTCCCATCACCCACACAGCTGGAAGCCTGGAAAGAAGATTAAACTGCTGAGTCTCCCAAAAGTCATCGCAAGGACTCATGCAGAGGTGTAAGAGAGAGAACACTATTTCTGCAGCAAATCATAGCTGCTTGGATTGTACAAGCAAATGTGGGGGAATTATGGCCTGAAATGTCAGGGCGTGGGACAAGGGACCAGCAGTGTGGATTGAGATACCAGTAGGTGTTCAAAATGCCAATTAACAGTAAGACTTCTCTTGCTCCACAGTTATATAATTTCTACCCATCCCTTGGATTTCTCTCCGGAGCTTCCAGGACTGTGCTACAAAATGTCAGTGAACTGAATGCTTTTCTCCAGAAGCTCTTCCAGGAACACAAAGAAGAGTTTAATGAAAATAACTTAACAGGCTTTGTTGATGCCTTCCTGATGAAACAACAACAGGTACTTTAAAGCTAAGTCTCAGAGTCTTTCTATTCTCTTAGCTCTGACTTATTATTAGGACTGACCATCTGTCAGGGACCAGGAGTGAGTGGAAACAGAGGAATTTGAGTGAGCAGAATGTATCAGAGCTCATACTCACAATGAGATGTGCTGTATTCACTCCATAGCTCCGCTTAAACTGCTGGTTAAAGGTATCTAGTCGTTCAGATGTCTCATGTGGGTGAAGTAAGTTACCACTCAGCACATGTAAGGAGGAGATCATCCCAAACCTTCCTGCAAGAATGGTACAGTGATAACTTCATTGCAGTAACTAAATTCCAACTAACCTAATATCTGAACCTGAGGATTGCACATATGCTTGGGACCAGACAAATTCCACACAGCATACTAAAATACTAAACATTTAGTTTCCCAGAGCATATAAAATCACAAAAAGCAGATAAAAATGGTGGCAACACAGTGACATATTGGTATCACTTGCTGTCGAACTTATGGCCATTACCTGTATGTTTTGAAGGAGTCAAAGAAAACCCACACTGTCTTCAACAATGGAAACCTGATGTTTTCAACCCTTGACCTCTTTGCTGCTGGGAGTGAGACTACTTCTACAACTGTGCGCTGGGGTCTTCTCCTGATGATGAAATACCCAGAAATTCAGAGTAAGGCTGAGAAGTCCTCTTGTACACTATACTGTTGCATGCTTAAGGCTTGGGTTATGGAAGGGAGTGGAACTCATTCAGTGTTGTCTAGAGTAATTATTGTGAGTACTCAGAGAGAGATAACAACCGTCGACTTTACAAAGGAATTTTATTCAGCTGGATTGCAATAAACCAGCTCAGCCAAGTGGGAGAGGCTAAGGGCCAGTCTACAGTTACAGTAAAGCTTCCCTCATCGTTATTCTCCTGCAGGCTATGGGCTTACGTCACTACAGGTCTCCTCAGGAGCTGATTCTGATCGAGTTTCTGTTGAAGGCTATGGGGTAACAAAGGTGTGTGATCAGAATCAGGCATGGGGTGTACTGTAGTGACTCCATTCAGGCTCCTTTGGCTCAACAACAAACCTGAAAGAACCACAACATGCCCTGACTTACCCACCTCTGCTCTTCCCAAATACCCCTCAAAGTTTTCCCTTTTCTTCATCTTGGCCAAACTGGAGGCCATTTCAGTTGCAAGATAAGAGGGTTATCAGCTTCTTAATCCTTTCCTCCCTCCAAGGAAAGATTCAAGAAGAAATGAACCATGTAATTGAACCAGGAGAGCTGCCTAAGTTGGAGGACCGTAAAAAAATGCCTTATACAGATGCAGTGATACATGAAATACAAAGATTTGCCAATATTGTACCAATGGGTGTATCACGATCAACTCCTACCGACGTGAATTTCCAAGGCTATGTGATTCCTAAGGTGAGCTTTGAGGCTAGCAGCTTACACTGCACTGATTCCTTACAGTTTTATTTAAAGCAGACAAGAAAAATATAAAAACCTAAAGACATCATGATGCATGTTTTAATCTAATTCTTTGTCTTGGATCCAGGATAGCTGTTCAGCCACTGGACTCCGGTCTGTTACAGCTGTTTGAATCCAGAGTAACCAGAGGGTTCAGTTAAATCACACTGGTTTGAATCTCTCATGCCGAATGTGGAACCTCTACTTTAGTACCTTTCTTGAAAGATGTGACTCTGTAAGAAGGGAATGTTTTGTGGTCCAAAAAGACAGCAACAGCTACTGGTAACAGGCAGAGCCACAGTGAATCAGGAAGCATCTCTCAATTCAGGCTGCTGTGGCTCAATCTTATTTGTCTCTTCACAGTAGAAAAAAGAAAGCAGGCTGGCTTGACTAGGAAAGTGATCCACTCTAAACAGCTACAGTGAGTTTCTTTGATCTCTTTCAGGGTACAGAGATTATTCCGCTGCTGACTTCTGCTCTGAATGATGAGTTACACTGGAAAACCCCAGATCAGTTCAACCCTTCCCACTTCCTGGATGCCGATGGGAACTTCATTAGGAGAGAGGCGTTTATTCCATTCTCCATAGGTGAGAGGGGTAATGCGTGCACCACCCAGGGCTAAGCTAATGACACAGTTCTCACTGATTCCAGGGAAGTATGAAAATTGTGGACACAGAACATAGGATAAGGGATTTCTGGTTATTTGTCCTGTCCACCATTGCTGTAGGTAACCATGTCTTCCTTGGAAGATCTGGGAGACACTGATTTACACCCATAGTCACTGAATGGTCTCACATACTTACGGGCTTCTGTGTGGTTTGAGACCAAGTCAGTAGCATCTCTAATATACAGAGAGAAGGAAAGAAAAGTTTCCTACCTCAGCAGCCTGCTCTTTACAGACTGTATATCCTGTTTAGAAGGTCTCAAACATCAACACTAATGGTCACGGTGCTGATCATTTACTTCTCTCCTGGTTGTTTTCAGGACGAAGGGCTTGCCTTGGAGAAGGACTAGCCAAAATGGAGCTGTTCCTCTTCTTTGCGGGCTTGCTGCGCAGATTTGTTTTCCAACCCTCTCCAGGAGTGGATAAGTCAGACCTAGATCTCACTGCTGATGTTGGCTTTACCTTGAACCCCATGCCTCACCTGGTTTGTGCTGTGCCCTATGAATGATCAAATGACATGGAGTTAGAGTAGTGAACACTTCAAGCTTGAAAGCAAGTCTAGTTACAGGGGAAAAAAGCTGTTTGTACCTGAGCTTTAGGGGAAGAAAGACACCAGGCACTACTATTTTCTCTCATTCATGCCATTCTTTCCAACAGCTCTTACAGTTTCTGTGTAATTCAAACCTTTCAGACACCCCTGAGTACTGCTCTCAGAAATAATGTGATTAGTTCCTGGAACAGCACATCAGAGATGCAGTTTTCAGGGCTGTTTGAAAAAATAAAATGGCTTCAAGCCTCCTCTATAGATGTAACCCATCAGAGGCTCTCCCCTGAGAGCCTCCATGGGGAATTTCTTAGCCTAAGGTCCAAGCTCTATAGCAGAGCTGATTATCGATGGCCCAGCTGGAGACAACAGACACTTAATGGATGTAGAAACCTCCCCAGGATGATTGTTCAGCCAAGCCTCAGACTGAGCTTCCATTGTGCGATACAACCTGCCTTATCTTTATTACAGAGTCCCAGACACAAGGGTGTAACATGGGCTGATGCCAAAAGCCAGGCACGGGACAGTTATCAGAAAACATCTAAGTGGTTTGGGAAGTGGGTTCATTCCAACTCACACTAGGCACTTTATGTTGAAGAACCTATTTATGATGGGGCCAATCTAGCAGTTTTCTGCTTCTGCCAAGAAAGGCATTTCTACCACTCCCTCACCTCTCCTGGCTTCATGCTGGATCTGGCATTTCTCCCATCCTTTACTGGGCCACCTTAGATCCCTAAGCTGGCAGGAAAATTACCAACCACAGAAAGTGAAGTGTTTCTGAATCAGCATGGCTAATGCTGGACACAAACCTGAGACAGTGCCAGGGCAACGCAGCCTGGGGCTGGGCA